AATGTTAACCGATAACTGAAGCACACAATTTGCTGCAGGGGTTTATGCATCCAAATGGGTGACATGTTTAAAAGTGACAGCTGTCTCCCTCGAATTAAGCTCTCGATTGCTAGGAGACCGGTCCTAATGAAGTCTAATCATTGGATGCCAAGAAGAAATCTTTGGCATCACATGTGGAAGGACTGCAGCTGATCCAAATCAGCTTGAAGCAATGTCTATGCCTCCAAACCATACAACAACACTGACAAAACACAGCACTGGTAGACTCTTAATTTGGTGCCCAGACGTACTTGTTTCTGGGACCAACTGCAGTTCAGACGATTATTCTTGAGGCCAGGCCAATCCAGCGCATGACAGCAGGTCTAGATTGTCCATCAGTGGTTTGTGCAAATCCCAGGTCGAGACATTCCTCCATTGGTTTGACAGCGTTGCCATTGATTACGCAGGGTGCTTCTGAAGATCCGGAGCACAAGTTCTGGGCTTTGTTTTGTCTGACATGAACCATTTAGTCCCATTTTTTTCACATGTTGTGGAAATGTTGGTGGACTGCTGTGAACGTTTCAGACTTCTAAACAAACAAGACTCCATCATCACCGTAGTCGAGGTCAGTGAAGTGGTGCCAGCCAATCCTGACTCCAAGGTCGCGGGTCATGTTGTCAAAGATCCTTTTGATCACCCAACAGAAGAGCACCAGTGCGAGGATGCATCCTTGACACATCCCAGATATGGCCTCGACACAAACCCTTGCGCTTGTGCCTGTATTCTGATCTTTTACAAGGTCCGGCAGGATGCCAGGAATCCCAATGCCTCTCAAGGCAGACCAGAGATCGGATCGATCCACAGAGTAAAAAGCCACCTTCAGATACATGTAAGCGACATGCAATGGGCGGTCAGTGCAGTTCTGCAAGTAGGTAGATTGCAAGCACAGCATCCATCGTAAAACAGTTAGCTATGAATCCTGATTGCTGTGGGCGCTGGTGTTTTGTCAGGACTGGTTGCAACCTGCCCAGAAGTACACATGTAAAAACCTTTCCTGCTATTGGAGTATCTAGGTATGCATGTTAAACTTTTTTACCTGGAGCATGCCACTGAGAGATGAGACCTTCACATCAGCCCAGCTCCACCACGACATGGATATTGTGCTCATGACGAGCAGCAGCGTTTTTTTTATTGGCTGAAGAATGCTGTGTGGAAGCTTCCTGGCTTATTGCTGCATATGAAGTGTGTGGTCTTAGTGGCTCCATATAAACAATTTCTTCTCTATGCTTGTGAAAAGTAGACCTCTTTAAATTAAAATTTTCCCTGCCTATGAACTATCCTGAGTTTAACCAGACTATAATCTGTGAGGAGCTCACAGATCCTTGAAAGATCTGACCAAATCAATGGGCACCTCCAACAGGAGAACCTGCATTGGCTGAGTCATGTAGCCCACATGCATAGCTGCCACATACCCAAGCACGTTCCATTTTTCCAAATATAGGGAGCCTAAATAGGTATGGTACCAGCTAGAGACGAGGTAGGCTGATATTGTACAGAATGCTATGGAGCTGATTATATTTTCTGATGGTTGTTACCAACAGGGTCGAAATGTATACACAGTATGTTGAACTTCTTTCGCATTGTGCATCGCCAACCGTGCTAATCAGAGATGCGCAGGAAGGACAGAAAACTAAACACAAAAAACAGTTGTAAAGAAATTAGTTTTCAAATAACAATTAGTTTTCAATTTAAATGTAGTGGGAATATATGTATATTATTCCTTTCCCTTTGTACAGATACATAATTATACTGTCTCTCCAATCAGCAGACGCCTCTCTGGACATCCAGACCTTGATGAAGAGCTGATGTAAACCTCTGCTAATAAGATGCAGAGCACCTTTCAACAGTTCTGGAGAAATACCATCTAGCCCAGCTGCTTTATCATTATGACTCTTCATGATCGCATGCTGAACTTCCTCTGATGTAGAAGGGTTTGTTGGTTTCACAGTCGGAGTCCGCATTGATTGCTGATGCAGTGTCTGGCAATGGGGGACAAGCATCTGCTGGTGGGTGATTAAATGCTGGTGCATAATGCTCAGTCCATTGTATACGGAATTCCTCCACCGATGACCATGCAGAGCCTTACAATTTGGTGATAGGAGCCATGGCACTATGTTCACCCTCATGTCGTTGTGTAACAGTCCCGACTCAACTCCATCAGCCAGTGAGTTCAGATACTTCTCTTGGTCAGCTTTTGCTCGAGCTCTGAAAATGCCCTGAAGCCTGCGATGTTCCTTGGTGTTATCAGTCTGCCGTGCAGCTGCCTTCTGTTTCTAAACCTTTCAGGTGGAATCGGAGAACCAGGGTGTATAAGTAGGCTTTTGAGGGCCTACCATAGCTTTAGCAACCAATGTAATCGAGTCTCGTACATTGCACCAGGCAAGTTCGACATCAACGTCATTCGGTGAAACGGTGGAGGATGCCAAACGAGGCTTATCTGTCCTGAAGAATGTATCAGCAGTATCATGGCTGTCCTTGAGTCTCTGGACATCACTCTGCTTTATGGCTGAAGATTTTCTGGGTATTGATAGGTGGAGGGCAACTCGTATTACAGCCAGGCAGTGGTTGGTGTTAGCAGTTGCCTCCACTCCACAGCAAAACCAGGAACGACTCAAAGATTGTTCTGTCCTTGGTCAGGAAATTATCTATTTCTGTTTTATTGTGTGACCACCTTTTGAGATCTAAGTTTGGCTGTGGATGCTCAGTCTACGATACCATGAGTCGACAGCAGTGAAGTGCTCAGATGAGCAAAAGGTCAACATCAGACAGCGTTTTCATTGGGAATCCTGGAGCCAAAAGGCCCTATTACAGATTCTAAGCCACTCCGATATTTAAATATCCAAGGATCACGATTGTGTCATGCTTTGCAATATAAACTAGCAAACCACTTAATTGATCATAGAAGTGGCTTTTTCATCAGTTGTTGCATATGCAACAATGACCAACAGATGTCCATTTGGATGCTACATTCTGACCAGCAAAGTTTGTGGTGAGAAAGGTGTCCATGATACAAAGGATTTGTTGAGAGGCGGCTCGATGATGCGTGCGACCACCACAAACGTGATGTTCACTTCCAGAATGCAGGATATCTGTGCCATTGACGGCGGCTTGATCACTTTCTATGCGTCTGGCCTCAGTGATATCAGCAATTATGATGTTATATTTTTCCAGTTGGTGTACAATAGTGTACGATGGCCTCCTGGTATCCTGTCCCGTTCATGGTGAGACACCAATCCGGAATGTTTCTTGCAGGTCTGGCTTGAATTTATTTGGTGTCCTTGCTGGCAAATATGTTATGGCATAAACCTTATAGAAGCGTTCGGTGGCTTTCAGCTAGACCAGTCATCCGAACATTACTTGCTCGTTGTCTGCAATGGACTCGGTTTAAAGCAGGGACTGAAACGCTGGTGCTGTAAGGTTGTCTTTACATTTTAAAGTTGTTAGGTTACCCACAATGCTCTGTCCTCAATTGGTAAGAGCGCAGTCAAGAGAGAACAGCTTTGCTGTTGATCCAGAGAGCAGCAACTTCTGCCTAAGATCAGAGGCACTGCTGCTGCCCCATGTCCACAGCCATTGAGGATGCAAGTACCCACTTCTGCCTGTTCTTCAGTTGCCGGACTTGTGGCAGAGCCCCGTCAACTGGGGTATTATCAGGGTTCCTAACAGGCCTTCACAGAATCGAAACATCACCGTACTTCACCCTGTTAGGCTGTCCCCTGGCAAGATGTTAACTACTTCGCCTGGTATGCAGGAGGTGTTGGATTCAATCCCAACAGTGATGCCGGCTGTATATTTGGAGTTTGCATGTTCTCCCCGTGGTCGAGTTGATTTTTTCCCTCCACATTCAGAATCAACGTGCATTTAAAGTGTGTGGCTGCTATAAATTTCCCATGTGGTCATAAGCCACTTAGTTGAGCTATCATTTGCGTGGCCAGGTCACTTCTGAAAAAATATATATAGCTCCGTGGGGCCTGGTATATATATAAATATGTGTATTGTCAACGATTCAGAGACACAGTTTCTAGGAGGCACTTTCGTTATTAGCAACTTCCATGGCCTCGCCTGCACACTCTCCGCAGTAGCTTAGCCTAGCCTGTATACAACACTAGCCATCTAACACTGACGGCGCTGACTGAGATCGCCAACTACTATCCTTTGTAACGCAATAGCTAGCAGAGACGTTTAGCGATGACGGCGACGAGAAGACAGCAACGACGAGACGAGTCCATTCCCAGAACCGACAGTCCCGAGCCCCCACTCTCGGCTCATTTTATGCTACCAGCGAGGCCTGACTCAGCCCTGACCGCGCCTCTCTTCTCGAACCTGATAGCCTGACTCAGCCCTGACCGCGCCTCTCTTCTCGAACCTGATAGCGGGTTCCAAGGGGCCTCCAGATGGGGTCCTCCGTGACCCTTGCCCTAGTTTATCTGCTCTGCCAACACACCCGTGGTCATGCTCTCTGGCGTGTGTACTGTCTGTCCACCACAGCTGCCGCTGCTGTCCACCAGCCAGCGCTATTACACTACACATGCATTCCATTGCCAGGTTCGATGATGTGGACAGGACGATGTTACTTTTGGAGCCCAACATTGACAGCTAAGATACAGTTGTTGCCCTTCATCCTACTTCTGCATTCTCTGTTCGTTTCCTCCACGTCACCAGCCACTCAACTCACAGCCTATTTCAGGTGCGAATGTCCTTGCTTAATATTTACAAAAGTATTCCACCATACCATGGTGTTGGATATTTCACTTATTTTTTGTGATGTGATTCTCGTGGTGCATCTGAATGTATTGGTATATGTAGTGGTGTTTCTTATTCAATTGGTGTTATATATATGATTTTTGTTATCTAACTGGTGACATTAGTGCTCCCGATGCTGGTGCTGTGTATGCTGTTGATAACCGTGGTGTTTCTTGGTGATGTTGCTGTTGAATAAGTTATTGCATCGCGTAACTTGCCTCGGGTAAGGGTTTTGCGGGCTTGCAGTGGAGCCCACCGACGAAGACGAAATTTGGAGGGAACGGGCGTGGAAAGTCGAGATCCCAGTTGTTCCGGATGAGCCAGAACTCAGCACCGCTCATCACCTCGCAAATTGTTGTACCTTCTCCTGTGAGGTCGGAGTTGGCAATGAAAGCGGGTTGCCTTTTAAACCATGCAATTCAAATTCAAGAAACAACCATTTCAGCACTTTCTCATAGGCAATTACATGCAAGTGTCACAATCTCATATTCGTAAAAACATATTTAACTAAAATAAATTCCGTAAAAATCTTAAATATTAACTCTTTCAGTATTTTGATCTTATATATTGATTTAGAAGTGTTATTTTTCGACAAAAGTTTAAAAGTTGGTAACACAAACACTTACCGAGCAATTCAGCATATATTCTGTTTGAATTGTTTCCATCCATCAATATATGCATCAAGTCACTGAGAAAATACATCACAGTGTTTTGCACTCGTTGCCAGAAGTGCATATGGTCCGGGAGATTAGACACTGGCATGGGCACGTAGGATGGAGGCGCGGGCATCGCCCCACAGTAGCGCTCGATAATGTAGCTCGGAGTGAAGCGCAGGGAGTAGACGTAGGGAATGCCCAGCATTAACGCCAGTGCATCACCACAGAAGGCGATGGGGTCAGAGAGGAGAACGTCGAACTGGCTGTCCCGCAGACGAGAGATCAGGCCCTTGTCCCGTTTCAAAGCCATGCACGTGTCCTTGGTGTCTGTGTGAATGTGCGTGTGCAGATATGTAGCAGTTTGCGGACTTGCGCTACTCATCCGGTGGCCTGAGTTCGATTTTCGCTGGCGGCCAACAACAGTAACAATGATCTAAACCAGTCCTGGGCCTCCCCTAGGTCAACTCAGCCTAAAACTAGTACCTGGTGCAGTAGGTAAACATCACCACTAGATAGACAAAGACGGCCGGGCGTGGTGTTGGCCACCTACCCTCAAGTGTGCTGTGGCAGCCTTTATAGGTGCTCGCTAGCAGTACTTGCCCCAACAGTCTATTAAGGCTACACGGGGAATCCTTGTCTTTTTTTGTCTTTGTGCAGATATACATACACCGTTTACGCTAAACAAGAGACGAAGAATTACTAACTCATTAACTTAAAAAAAATTTGTTGATTTTAAGAGACCCACATTTGATGTGTACTGTATTGTTATGGGTCTTTCTCAGGACCCTTCCTATTGTCACTAAAGCTGAATAGTCTCCAAAACAAACGTTAAGAATCTTAGCACACAGATCACCAACACCATTTCACCAAAGTGTTGGCAATATTTGTTTATGAAATATACATTTTTATTGTAAGTTATAACACAATTATAACACTTATCAGTGACATTTTACAAAAAAATAACAACCGAGTTTGGGTAATATAGCAGTGCTCCAATAATCTGTGTCAACATGGGGCAACTGCATTGTGAATCCTATAACTTACCATGCACCATGGAGGTGAGACTTACCAAAAATCCACCAAAAATATTTCGTGCCGATTTTGGGAAAATGTTTTATATGGGAAGAGCAGCAGATGAATAGCACCTTCATTGATCCGCGATGAATTCCCTGATTATAAGAGATTATTTTTTTATCAAAACAAACTTGAGCCAATCCGCCACATGGGTCTACATTTGAAATATATGTATCAGTATAAAATCAACTAAAATGTGTGCAAATGATATAGGTGTATCTTTCTGCAGCCCCACATATCATCTTTGCTTGTCCTTCTGGAGCTCCGCTTGTCTCTCTAGATATATTTTCACATCTTTGTCAACATGCGTTAATTTTGTGGATCTGCAGCTCCATTTTTCTCCCTGCAGCTATTTGTCTATCCGAAGCTCTGTGTCTCACAAAAATTATGCCTCACAAAGCCTTGTGGAACCAGAGAGAAAGGCGCAAGTGTGTAAGTATTTATAAATAATTTTGCACCGTACATAGCCAACCGTGCTAATCGGAGTTGTGGGTTAAGGACAACAAACTAAATGTAAAAAGCGGTTCTAAAGAAATAGCTCCAGTGGCTTTCTAATATCGGAAGGAAGAGCGTTCCAGACGGCCGCAGAAGCGCATCTGACAGTGCGCAATGCGGTGACCGTCTTTATTCGATGTGAAGACTTCAGCAGGAAAACCTTGAAACAAAGAAAGACGAGTCCGATACTGCCTGTGTGCAAGACGTCTCTGCACAGTACAGATGTAGAGGAACTCAACAGACGGTCCTCTTTGTGGTAATTTTAATCGCTATTTTAAACAGAACAAAAAATAGTATTACTCAACCAGCTTAGGCCAATGAGTTATATAACTCTTTTTCAGAGAAGACCTGGCAAAAAAATAGGTCAATGAAATTAGTTATCATCAAGTGCAAATTTAGTGTATCCAAATACTCTTAAACGCATGTTGATTCTAAATGTGGAGATAAAAGCCAGATGACCCAGAGAAAAATCCACGCGAACCACGGGGAGAGAGAGAGACATGCAAACTCCAAATATAAAGCAGGCATCATTCGGGTTGGAATCAAACCCATGACCTCCTGCACACCAGGCAAGGTACTTACCATCTTGCCACCATGGCGTCCCAATTCAACGGCACAGGGAGTCTCTGATTGGTCATTGGTGAGCCATATTTCATATATTCTAGCTGAACAATAAAAACCAATCAGAGTTAATTATTTGATATGGCGAGTTCTGCTGTGACTGGAAAGGGTATTTGAAAGGGAAACGCGGAAATTTTTTTATTAAGTTGCAAATGGCTGAGTGAACCTTCGAGATGAGGGATTGAGGGTATTCAATGGCAAAGTGCAGCTAACTTCGGACTGATGAAAAAAATGGCCTTACCCCTTCCGGCAAGCATACAGGAAGGTTTAAAGATGTTCAAACATCAAACAGACACTTATCACAAGGCATCAAGTTTGCATTAACCACACGTGCTTGTGATGAAACATGCAAACAAACATGCTTTGATAATGCATGCATTTTCCTTGAAACTTATTGGCCTATGGCAGGGAGAGGGATAGTCTCAGATGGACTAGACCTTGGTGATGGACCAAATGTCACGTGACTGGGGGGGAAGGAGCCAGAGCTGGATCGGTTGCGACTAAATATAGTTGGTCTCATCTCCCCACACAGTATTGTCACTGGAACTAAATTTCTCGATCGGGGATGGTCTCTCTCCTTTTCTGGAGTGACCCCTGATAAGAGGCCCTAGACAGGTGTGAGGATACTCACAAGCCGCCACCTCGGTGCTGTTCAGTTCTAGTTTGTCTCAGTGGATGAGAAAGTCTCCTCATTGAGACTTCGGGTCTCAGAAAGGAAAACCATGACTGTTGTCTGTGCTTATGTACCAAACAGCAGTTTAGAGTATTCGGCCTTTTTGGGGATGGTGGGTGCAGTGCTCAACAAAGTGCTGCCTAACGACTCCATAATATTACATGGAGATACCTGGAGTGGCGTGATTTGGAGGAATGGCCCCTCTGATCTAAACCCCAATGGTGAGATCTTATTAGAATTCTGCACTATTCCCGGAATGTCAATAACAAACACCATGTGTGAACACAAGGATGCTCATAAGTATACTTGGTGCCAGAGTACCTTGGGCTGAAGATCAATGATTGACTTTATAGCTGTATTATCGGACTTAAGGCCGCATGTTCTGGATACTCGAGTGAAGAGAGGGGCAGAGCTGTCAATTGATGACCACCTAGTGGTAAGTTTGATCCGACACTTGGGGCACCAACCAGATAGATGTGGAAAGCCCAAACGAAAAATGCGGTTTCTCGGAACGTCTGGTGGAAGACGCAGTGCAGAAAGATTTCAACTCCCACCTCCGCAGAAAATTCTCCTGCACTCCAGGGCAGGTCGTGGACATTGAGTCTGAGTGGATGATGTTCAGGACGTCGAGTGTGGATGCAGCTGCGAAAAGCTGTGGCCTGAAGGCAGTTGGTTTCTGTCATGGTGGCAATCTTAGGACCCACTGGTGGACACTAGTGGTGAGGGAAGCTGTCTAGTTGAAGAAGGAGGCTTTCTGAACCATGCTCGGAAAAAAAGTTTCCCAACTCGATGAAGAGGTAACGGCTTGCCAAGAGGGCAGCAGCTGCAGCAGTCGCTGAAGCCAAAGCCCGGGCAGAGGAGGAGTTTGGAGAGGCCATGGAGAGGGACTACCGGGCAGCCTCAAATATGTTATGGCAAACCATCCGACACCTTAGGTGGGGTCGACGGGACGTGGCCCAGGCTCTTTTCTGTAAGGGTGGTGTAACATTGACCTCAACTCAGGAGATAGTGGAGAGGTGGAAGTAATACTTTTAGGAGCTCCTCAACTCGGGGAACATGTCCTCCTTTTATGAGGCAGCCAAATCATATCACAGTTGCTGAAGTCGCTGTGGCGGTCGAGGGCCTTTATAGCGGCAAAGCTGTTGGAGTGGACGAGATTTGCCCAGAGTTGATGGAAGCACTGGACAGTGTCAGAGTATCGTGGTTAACACGCCTCTTCAATGTTGTATGGAAGGAGGGTACAGTACCTCTGGACTGGCAAACTGAGGCCGTGGTTCCCAATCAAAAAGGGGACCAGAGGATGTACTCCAACTACAGAGTAATCACACTTCCCAGCATCCCAAGTAAAGCTTATGCCAGAGTGCTGGAGAGGAGGCTACGCCCGGTGGTCAAACCGCAGATTCAGAAGGACCAATATGGATTCCGTCATGATCATGGAATAATGGACCAGCTCTTTTCCCTCCCACAGATATTTGAGGGATCATGGGAGTGTTTCTCCAGTTTACGCCTGCTATGTAGACTTGGAGAAAGCATATGACCGTGTTCCCCATAATGTCTTGTGGGAGTATGCTGTACCGATGCCGCTTTTGTGTGCTATCCGATCCGTCTATTCCCAGAGTGAGAGCTGTGTCCGTATTCCTGGTGTTAACTCAAAGTCGTTGACTGTTGGTCTTGGACTCCGCCAAGGGTGCGTCTTGTCTCCATGCCTGTTTGATAGTTTCATGGACATGATTTCAAGGTGCAACCGAGGTATGGAGAGCATCCAGTTCGGTGGCATGGAGGTGGCGTTGCTGCTTTTTGCAGATGACTTTTTCCTCTTTGCCTCGTCAATCTGTGATCTCCAGCATGCACTTGAACGGTTTGATGCCGAGTGTGAAGCGGCTGGGATGAGGATCAGCACCTCCAAAACTGAGGTCATGGTTCACTCGCAGGAGATGGTGGATTGTTCTCTCCAGTTGAGGGGGGAACAGCTGCCCTTAGTGGAGGAGTTTAACTTCCTCGAGGGCTCTTTCGCGAGTGATGATAAGTGGGAGCGGGAGATTGGCTGGCAGATCGGTGCGGTATCCACAGTATTGTGGGCACTGAATCGCTCTGTGGTAGTGAAGTGGAAGCTGAGTTCGCGAACGAAGCTATCGGTTTACAGGTTGAACTACCTTTCCACCCTCACCTATGGTCATGAGCTTTGGGTAACGACCGAAAAGATGAGATTGCGGGTACATGGGGCCGAAATTAGGTTTCTCCGCAGGGTTGCCAGGCTCATTCTCTGTGAACGAGTAAGGAGCTCGGTAATCCAGGTGAGCCTTAGAGTCAAGCTGCTGCTCCTCCGTATCAAGAGGAGCCAGTTGAGGTGGCACCTTATAAGGATGTCCCCCGATAGAGTCCCCCTGGAACTCTACCAGGCAGCACGTCCCACTGGGCGAAGATCCCGCGGCCAGTCCAGGACATGGAAATATGTCACTCGGCTGGCCTGGGAATGCCTGGGAATTTCTCAGGAAGAGCTAGAGTCTGTCGCCAGAAAAATGGAGAACTGGACCGCCCTGTTCAACATGTTGCCGCCTTGACCCTCACCAGAACAAGTGTATTGAG